TCTATGGTAGTCGTTCTTCATTGGCATAGTACGCTTGATCTTACTGTTTCGGTTGCATGGTGCATGATGTGAACACGAAAGTGCTGAGGATGTTCGATGAAATGCAGGATGAAGAATCAGATTTGTTCTTTGTGCAATGTCGAATTTAATTGTTCATATGGTGTCACGTATGTGTTAAGTTGTTAATTCTAATCTGTTAATTTGTGTTTGATTTGTAGCGTTGTGTTGAAACTTTCTACTGAACTGAAAATATTCCCCTTCGGTTTCTCTCTAGTCGTAACAAGAAGGATTTTCTTGAGTTCCTCCTTGAACTTACGTAATGTTCTTGTTTAAACAATTGTTTGGGAAGCTCATGTGTCCTTTGGAGTCGAATGATGAGTTTTTACCGTTCATATTTCTAGCTGCACTCTATTTCTTTGTCTATACGTTCCTTTTATTTTGGCATTCAGGTTGAGTAAATCAAACGAAAACGAGGAGTATTGTTATTGGGACAAGGTGGATGGGGGCATGGGGAACAACTTATGCCCACGAGGGTGCATACCTCTCTCTTTTTGTGAGACTCAAGTCACGCGATGAGTGCTGTATTAAGAGAATATACATCTCCAGACAAGAAAGTTTTTCTCGGAGTTTAAGAATATCCCATTTCGGTTGTTAAGAGTAGTGTAGGATATGGAAAGTTCTTAGAAAAGCCGCATATATGGATTTGATTAGCTGGCTTAGGCAATGTGCGTACCCTTTTACACCCAAGTTTGAATCTCTATTTCCATATGCTAAAAACGGTTTAAAATATCTGAAAAGAAAATTACTTTGAAATGTCTAGTGTCTACCAATTAACCTCATTTTTGCTAACCTATTCAAGCTTTCGGCATGAACTAACTGAAGAGTGATCTTCTGTTAGAACAGAAGTATCTATGATGTGTGGAGAAATGATTTTGTTTGCCTCCTAAATCATATTCTTAAACTTCCTTAGCATAATTAACAAATTTTTATTCAATCAGCCTGTGGTGACGACAATGGGTCGTGAGGTGAGGGATCTAATCATTTTTTATAGTCTATAAGTACTTAATTATAATGTTAAGTACTATACTTAGCAGTTATAAAGTAAGTTAATAAAATTAGGGTTCTTCAATTAACAATTGCAAGGTATACCAACATGTCCTCACTCATCCTATTCTCTAACCCCTTTTGTGGGAGACGTTTTTTTGTCCGAAAATCTGACTAGGGGACAATGAGAGAGAGGGTGGTACCAGCGTGGGATAGGCATGAACAGAGCCAATGAAGGTTCACTGGGCCCCTGGGGGCATATCCCCCCACACAAGTAATTCGTTATTGAGCTGCAAACTGCAATCATATGTGTACACTTGTTATATTTGAAGAAGATATAAGTATCTACTATCAAGCATACATTCATATACTTTCAGTGGCGGAGTCAGGATTTTAACCTAGAAAGAGCCCATAATAAGATTTTATTAGTTTTTCCAGTTGTCCCCACTAGAACAAATTTCAAACTCTGACATTGTGGGCCTTATAATTAGGAAATAGGAAGTTAAAGTAGGTACAATTTTTTTGTGTCTCGGCCCCATAATACACGTAATGATGCCAAACCTTACAATTTCTTCTTTTTGTCACTATTTTTTTTTCATCATTATAGAATTAGTATAGTATCCTTTCATAGTAGCCCGAAAACAAAAACAATCGAACTATATATTTCTTTTAGATAAGAACAATGTTTTTTTTCATTATTATGTAATCATCATTTCGTTATTTTACTATGTATCCGTTTAAATTTTAAGAACACGCAGAATAGTTAGAAATAATCCTCCAAATCTTAAAAAATTCATGAACAAAATAAGTATTTCAAATAGGGTGATTCTATTCACACATCTATTTTGACTTTCATTTCTATCGATTTTCAGAAGTCGGATAGAATTAAAAAAGATCAAAGGATAAAAATTAACAAGGGAAATGTGAGATAAAAAAAGAGGTGTGATATCTACATACCTCATTTTACTTCTCACATACCTTTTTAATTTTTGGCCGTCGGATCAGATGAATTGAAGAAGATCAACGGACATAAATTATCAAATGATGTATGAGAAGTAAAATGAGGTGTGTGGATAGCACACCCATAAAAAAATTGCGTGACTAGCACCCACATGATATAATTAATGTGTGTGTTATGTTGATGACGGATTTATAACTGTAACATGTATAATTATACTACGTGAATGTGTTTCGTACAATAATTTTTTTTTGACAAAATATTATTGAAAGCCCCTGATTTATGTTTGCCCATTGTCCAAGCAATTAGTGGCGTCCCTTCTGCCCAGATTTGTGCTTCTTTGGAAATCACGCTTGTCACCGTCCTAACTAACGACTATTTTTTTGACTCCTGCTTTGCGATGCACTTGTCAATTTCCATCCACGTCACAAGTTCATATTATGTAGCAGTGAATCAAAAGCAAAAAAAATATATATAAAATAAAAACTAAAATTTAGAGGTTTCGTGTTCGATGCTCTGAGCTGAGAAGTTTGTAGGTAGAGTGAAACTTTCATAGCCTCTTCGAGTCCAGAAAAATTGGATAACCGTGACTTGCATTTATTGTCTTCTTTTTAAAAAGAAAATAAAATAAAAAGTAACCAAAGAGAAATGCTCTGCAAAACCTTCACCCGTTTTGGGGTGTGGATGTCATATTAATTAATTTAATTAACCACTGTTAATTTTCTAAATTTTATTTATTTTTCTTTTTTATTTTCTTCCTTCGGTGTCTTTTTCTTTTTCGCTTTTGATTTATAACTTATGATGAAAGCTATAAAGCCATTCAGGGCGGTGGTTTTTGGTCCACTTTTATAAAACTGAACAATCCGTCAAATAGTGGACACCACATTCATAGGGCTGCCGTATAGGATAGTCTTAGGGGTCGGTACTAGCCCACATTCATAAGTAGGGCTGCCGTATAGGGTATTCTTACGGGTTAGTACTAGCGTGAGATCAGACGAAATTAAATACGTAGTCCCTCGTAATTTTGTGATGTTGGTCGGAATAGGCAAATTGAAGGAGTGGGATTAGCATGGAGAAAGATAAGATTGAAATGACGAATCTCTCGTACTTGTATAATGTTAGTAGAACTATTCATGTGATTGGATAATTTGATCGATGATTTTTTCGAACCAGTTCTCATCATGAACACTAGATAATATAGAATGCATAACCAAAAGAAAACCGAATCTCTCATATTTCTTTAATGTTAATCATAATATTCACATGATCAGATAATCTGATCAAAGATTTTCTCAAGCTAGTTATTATTACGATTGCGGACACAGAATAATATATAATGCATAACCAAAAGATGATATAAAGTGAATCAAATAGGTGATATGTCTGGTCTAACAGACAAGTAAGTCAAGGTAGGTCACGATCTCTGAGGCTATGAACAGGTACAATCTTATGCTTTAACTGAAAGTTAACACGATCATTGCTCTTTACACATTAGAGACCCCCATATATGTTTACAATAGGCAAGTTTCAGAATTTAATGGGTCCTACTTCCCATTTTCATTATATCTATTCTGATTGAAAAAATCATGACTTCATGTGTCCGTAATCATTGGTCAAAATTAAGTTCTGTCACAAAATCATGGCAACTCGATTACCCAATTACTTTTCCAACACCGCTAGACCACCGTAAGAACCGTTTATATTATAATTACTTTGTAATTTTTTTTTAAATAAATTAAAATTAAGGTTGTTTAATCAATTTATTTTAGTAAATACTGACATTTTGTAATGCTTTTACCAATTCCAAAATCAATTTATTTTGATAGAACTACCCAGTTTCATTTGTTTGCTGGAGAAAGCTGCAATCCTGAAAGGAAGAACGTGAAATTCTTTTTTATTTTCATTTTTTATACAGTTTGATGATTTATTGACTTTAGTTTTAATTGATTTTTTTTCTTTTAGAAACGATTTTTAGGGATTTATAATATGAAAGAGTTTTGATCATAAACATGAAGTTCTATGAATTGTCAACGAACAATTTTGAGTAAGAACTCTTACTACTTACTTTTCACATACATTTTACCAATCCATATATATTAGAGTTGGTTTGGAACTGTTTTTTTTTTTTAGAACACTTATGCTCATATACACTTAAATTAAACATTATCATAAAAATTATTGAAATGTTTATCTCAAATCTAAATGCTTTCTAAAAAAGCACTTCTTCAAAAAGCATTTCTATTACCTAATAACCCTTTTAATTTAGAATACACTGAAATAAATTGATAACACTGCATGAGATCTTGTTACAATTTCACCGCAAAATTACTCAAGAGGGAGAGAGAGAGAGAGAGTTACTTTTTAATGTGTTTTTTTTATAAGGTGCTTTTGAATTGAATGATTTTTTTTATGTGTTTTTTTAATAAGTTACTTTTGAATGGGTTAACTGGCTCAAATCCACCCAAACACAGTTTGCTTTATTCCTTGAGGGTGCTTTTTGAGTACCAAGACTCCTTTTTTTATCAAGCATGAATTCCAATGAAAAAGATTCACAGACAATTGTTCCCTGCCTGGTTTTTTCTAAATATTGGTAACTTAAGAAAGACATAATATTAACTAAAATATGGATATCCAAGAAAGTTGATGAAAGCTTACAATTTATCAGGAATTTAATATTTGCATGGAAATGTGGAGAGAGAGAGAGAGATTGCGACTCCAGAGGACTTTGGTCTTTCTTGCAAGATTTTGCTGAATATATATGTAAAAAAGGGAAGTGGGGAGCCTTATGTCTTCTGCTCAAAGCATCCCATCCTTTTCCTCTGTCTCTGTCTCTCTCTCTCCCCCCCCCCCACTTTCTCTCTCTAGATTTCTCTCCCTCCATAGCAAAGAAGCAAAGCATCTGTACTCCCTCTCAAACACCACCGCGTCTTCTTTGCTTTCCCTTGTAAGTATCAACCTTTCCCTTGCTTTGAATTTAGCTGCTTCTGCTTCTTTTCGTCCCATTTTTTTTGTATAATTTAGTAATATTTCGAAAAATCCACCTAAAGTTTGGAATCTCTGCGTAATCTCAATCCTTAATGTGTTCATATACGAGTAGGGTTTTGTTTTCCGGTTTTTGGGTTTGCATTTGATCCTACAAAAACCAAGTTCTTCTGCAAATGTAGTTTCTTTGCATTAGTATTATATTATCTGTCTTCTCTCTTCTTCCTCTCTGGATCTGGATTTTCATAAATTTGTTCGTCATTTGGTTGTTCCTTTGAGCATTTCAACTTTAACTTTTTCATCACCTTATTTATTCCTCCATTTTATTCTTTTATTTTATTTTTTTCGATTTTATTTTTTTTTGTGATTTTTTTTAAGCTCTTCGCTTTCGAAAACATATTCTGCCTTTTGGGTTTTCTCAGTTTTCTTAAATAAATCATTATCCACTCCATAAACTTCAATTTTCCAGGCATCCCTAATCATTGTTTGGTGAAAAAACAACCAGATAATTAAGTAAAAAAGTTATAACACCATGGGTTTTATAACAGGAGTTCCAAAAGGTTCTTCTTGGCAGCCAATCATGACTGCGGACACAACAACTTCAAGTTACTGGATCAACTGGAGGGTCTTGCTCTGCACGATATGGATATCGATTGCGATGACTCTTTCGGTGATTCTGGTTTGCAAATACGAAGAAAGACCGCGCAGTTCAAAGCGCGGTAACAGCGGAGAAAACCAGCAACAAACGTCTGCAGGAACATTGTTTGAGGATGAGACTTGGAGACCATGCCTCAAGGGAATTCACCCGGCTTGGCTCCTGGCTTTTCGGGTTTTCGCTTTCATTGTGCTCTTGGTTCTGCTCATCATTACCGCTTCCGTGGATGGAGGCAGCATTTTTCTCTACTACACACAGTAAGTTGTCATCTCTTGAGCCATTTGATGAACTCAATAGCACTTTATAGTCTATCTGTGAAGATATGAGTCCAGCTTTTTTTACAAGTGCTTCTCCTAATCTGTAGTTATTTGGCTTCTTTCTGGACAGGTGGACTTTTACTTTGATCACAATTTATTTTGGGGTAAGTTTTTTTTGTTCTGCTTGAACATTTTTTCTTCTTTTTCTTATTTTTCAGTTGATGCTGATGTCGATTTCCATGTGTAGCTTGGATCGTTGCTCTCCATTCGGGGATGCTACCGCTACCATAAGAAAACTGCCGGCGATAGGGTTGATATTTTTGAGGTGGATACAGAGCAAGGCTCTGCTCATGTGACTCCTTCACATGGAGGTTCTTCCAAAGATTCAATCATAGAGAAACCCTCAGGCCCCCATGTCGAACAACCTCAAGTTCGCCAACTTGCTGGCTTTTCGGGTTATATCTTCCAAATAATTTTCCAGGTAACGAAAACGTCTTAGAACTTGTAACTATAAATTTTAACTTGGCCTTCAAGACTCTGCAGCATTAAGCTTAATGGTTCATAGTCTTGTTTAATTAGCTTAACCGCTACGTGTTTACGTGTAAACAGATGAATGCCGGCGCTGTCCTTCTCACGGATTGTGTCTTCTGGTTCGTACTTGTTCCTTTTCTTACAATCAAAGACTACAACTTGAATTTTGTAAGTGCAATAAGCCATATAATACTCTGCTCATCTTCTCCGTCTGTTTTCGATTTTCTAATCGCATCATAATCTCGTGATTAGTTCATGTATTCAACGATTACGGTATTAGATTTACATGTTTCATCTTTTCCTGACAGCTGATCATAAATATGCACACGATCAACGCAGTTTTCTTGCTCGCTGATACCGCGTTGAATAGCTTGGTAAGTCGAACTTTTCAGCTCAAAATTTTCGACTCACTGTAGGGTTTCCAGTTCATATGAATACTTGACGATTAACATCGATAACTTTTCCGATTTTCAGCCATTTCCCTGGTTCCGAATCGGATATTTCTTCCTGTGGACGATCGTTTATGTAGTTTTCCAGTGGCTCTTCCATGCTTGTGTCAAGCTGTGGTAAAATCGTCGTCTCTTTTGGTTTCCCGTATTCAGAAATGTTATAGTTATATTCAGTTTTCCAAATTCCTACAGAAACCTATTTTCGTGTCATTTCGCTGCACCATAAGCTTCCACTCGTAGTGACGATTTTCGCCTTTCAAATGCAGGTGGCCGTATCCATTTCTAGACTTGTCATCTCCATATGCTCCGCTGTGGTACTTGTCGGTCGGTCTACTGCACATCCCATGCTACAGCATTTTTGTTCTGGTAATGAAGCTCAAATACCATCTGTTTTCGACGCGATACCCTGAATCGTATCAATGCGCGAGGTAGTTCAGGCGTCGAGCTGAAACCAGACATCGTACAGTATCCCGAAAGAAATATACTTTCGAAATTCTTCGTAGAAGGAGAGCAAACAGAAGTCCAGAGACCAGAGTTCAGGGTTATGGAGACAATGCCTTCAACAGGTTAAAGGAAATTGTTTGCTTGGTGATTTAGTTTTGGATGCTCAAAGCATTTCCTTAATCAATGGCATATACTTGTAGGTTGCAACTTGCAACTGCATACACATTAGGCATATCAGAAGGAAGTTGCATTAAATATATTCTACCATTCAATTAATCTACTTTTGTAAATTCCCCACTAATAATTTTTTTTTTTTAGCCAAAATAGTCTTAGAGATTTGACATAATTCCTCGTTCTGGTTCCTGAGGTTTAAAATCAATAGAAGTGACCCTTGAATTTGTCTACCGCCAATCATTCTGGTCTTTCCATGAAGTTGTCCTTGAGTTGGCCAATTGTATATTAAATTGAGAACATTTTTGTTATTCTGATCCCTATTTAACAGAGATTTCTCAATGGAACGACCAAATGATTAACTGTGGTGTGGACAAACTCAGGAGCCATTTCCATCTATTTCAAACCTCAAGGACCAAATTGAAGAGTTATGCCAATCTCATAAACCATTTTAGTTCAAATGCCTTTATATACTCATTCCAAGAGAATTCCGATGTGAAGTCGGAACCCAATGAAACAATTGAGAAGATCTGCCCTATCACCGTTTGTATATAATTATGTGTCTATCCTGATTGTATACAACCAGTAACACCGAAATATCTGCCCCATATGACAATGATTGACAAGCCGGTTTTACCGCTAACATTACAACAAACAAAAAGTTGAACTATAAATCCAAACATCCTAGATTTACCTGAAATTTACTTGAAACGTGCAATTTACATAACAAAGGACCAGCCAAAAAGAATATATCTTCGTCCAACCTCAAGGATTTAGCTACAACGATGTTTGGCATGTCCGGTTTTGATTATTCAATACCAGGTGCAACGAATACAATTTCCATATTTCAAATCAAGCAAAATGAATCTATGATACCAGGAGTGATTATAAAGAAGTGCTTGGCAACGAACCCATTAAAATGACGTTGTCGCCGTCTTTATGTTCCCTTGGCTTCTCCGGCTTCGCCTTTGAAAACAATCCAGAGAGTAATCCGGAACCCGAACCTCCCCCAAACAAGTCCAGAAAACCACTGATCTCAGGCCCGACCCCAGAGGTTGCCCTTCTAATGAGCTGCGCTGGCTCGTCTTCCCTGAGGTGTGCGCCACAAGTGCATTCCATGATCTTTCTGAAGCAAGGCTTGTGGAATACTGATGCGCAAGATGGACACCTTTCGATCTCATCCTCCTGCCAATAACTTTCACAGTCAGATTATAACATCTAGAATTCATCTTCAATATATGGAATTCAAGGTTTTCCTAGTAAGGAAACAAAAAGTTCAGTTGATTTGAGAAACGAGGAGACATTTGCAATAATATGGAATTCACGGTTTTCCTAGTAAAGGAAACAAAATGTTCAGTTGATTTGAGAAACGAGGAGACATTTGCAAAACCTGATGATTTCAATTGAAAAAGCAGCCTATAAGCTCATACAATATCATGTGTTATGGTCCGGGATTTTAAGTGCTTGATTCTGTTGGTAGAAATGGAAAATTTAAAGGTGAGTAGTGCGGTGCCCATTAACGTGATTTGACAAACGCCCAGAGCTCCAATTCATGAAGTAAAGATTTCAGAGACATATAAGAACATAAATACAGACCAACAAGAATGAAAGTATTAACCACATGAACAGGAACCATAATCATTGTATAATATAAATGCAGATGCCCACCTGAAAAGGGAAAATGAGAGATGAAGGGTCATTGCATGCTTGCCGTGCCCCACAGGGGACTCCCACATCGCAGCATATGAGACACTGCTCCGTTATATGGCCCAGAATTTTCCTTGAGACAGTTTCTACAATCACGGGCAGCACTGCCACAAAGATAGTACGTCAACAAATATATATGTGCACATATACATATCAGATCAGGCTATCAGAGGTAAATTCATAAATCTGTCTTATTTCCGTAATAAGAAAGAAACACACATGCATGATATGAGATAAAGTTGTTATTAGAATCTAACCAGCAAAGGCTCCTTTAGAAAGATCAATGAGGTCTCTCAGTGCAAAAAAATCATTGCCTTCTAGAAGATATCTTCGAGACCCAAGTCCTTTGTTGATTGACCTACGGAATGGACAACGAACATAAGGAAGAATGTTGCCTATTTTCTTCCTCACACCCATAACATGAAGCAAGGCTGGGACTTTCGAGAAAAGGAACGGATTAACTGCACTGACGCAAAGCATGGGCTGCAAAACAAATTATTATACTTAGATTAAGTTGGATGTAAAATGTTAAAAATATGTCAGTATATTGCTTACTCATGCAGTTGTAATTCATTGACATAACATATACATAATTTAATCACAAAGAAAGGTGTGCTAGTTTCCATATTACCTGGTCATGTATAGAATCCAGATAAGATTTAGCATATTGCGAAACTGGATATTTAGTAAAGTCCCAGTTATGCAACACTCTTGCCGGTATGATTGCAATTTCATTTGTATGGCATGAAGAGCAAAATAATTGACCAGTATATTCACAAAGTCGAGGCTTGCCCCATCCAAGTGTCTGTGCAAAATCCCGTATCAAAGTCTTGCCATCATCAAAATGCTTGTGGCACCCAGCACAAGTATAATATTGTGCTTCTAGCATCTGCTTCAAAGATTTGGATTGTCGAATTTCAACAATAAGAGATATGGTCTTTCCCCAAGTGGAAATATTTTGTGTGTCAGCTCTTCTAGTAAGAGACTCAGGTGTGTATGATGATTCCAGGGAGCTAGGAACTGAATCTTGAGCAGACAGAAACCATACGAGTGCACTCGGCGGACTGGAAAAGAACCTGAAATGGAGAACGGACTGTAGACACTCTTGGATGAGAACACTTCTCTCTGCAATAACATCAGGAGACGCATTTCCAAAAATCTTTCTGGATTCCTTTTCTACAGCAGACCAGGGAGAAGGTAGATCCCAGCCGTGGTCAGAAAACACTGTTTTCAATCGACGATAGAGTGTAAAGAAATCACGATAACGACGTTCAACCTCCCAATGATCCTCGCCACTCAACACTCTTATTTGATACACAGTGTATTCTTTCACTCCCACCAGTCTTTCACTAAATGAGACATCTCCCTTCTTCTGCCTTGCACCCACCACTTCGACCCCATCAATTCTTAACGAATGCTGATTGAACAAATGAGCATCATCTGTACCAGAAGTAGAAGCAGTCGACCCACCATCTCTTACTGGTAGAGGTTGCTGTGATTGTAAGTAACTGTTGCCATGAGTGAACCTTGCTCCTGGGGACTCAGCAGAGTCGAGCAGAATTTCCTCCATTTCATTAACAACCTCATCATAGAATTCATTATGCTCAGAATTATCCGTCTGCACCATTGGTAAAACAAAAAAATGAGATACAGACAACTTAACTCAACAGAGTCGCACAAAAATAGTCTTATACGGATAAAATCAGGCTGCCATAGCATATTACTACAAATATCATTTATCAGCAATCACTGGCAAAAGGTGGTGTAACGACTAATATGCACAAATTGCTGATAACAAGCATTGGTAAGCTGCACACACGATTGAATAAGAGCATAACACAAGCAACCATCCGAGTCAAGACTCGAATTTTCTTTGAAGACTAACATAAGCTATATGTTTCCTGAGTATCAAGAATTGGACAGAAAATAAATATAGAGATACTTCTTGGTATCACAACACGCATAATATGCATTAAATATTCACAAACATGAAATTGTATGTGGCTTAGGCCAATCGAATGACAATATAATTAAGTTGAATAATAATAATAATAATCTAGTGCCACTCAAAAGAAAAAGTGTACTGAGCATGACTAACCTTAACTGGCATAGGATATTCTTCAAGGATATCTTCTGAAACAGAACTTTTTGTGGTATTATTTCCAAAAATTGATGGCGATGTACTTGGTTTATGGTCCTCAAGGAAGTCTGTCTCCATATTTCCCGAAGTTCTGGTTGAATGGATGCTAATTTGATTAGTTGATTGATCAGAAAGGGGGTCCAGTTTAACTTTTAAAGTCCCCAACTTTTTCTTTTCTAAATCTTGACCGTGATCAATATCAATGACTTCATCGGTATTCATATACTTATGCACATCAGAAACACCATCATCCAAAATGCTCAAACCCTTTTTGTCAGGACTTTCTTTTGCTTGTGGATCCGGCTGAATATTGAAGACATTGCCAACCAAGGAAGCCTTATTATGTTTTGCTGATTCGTCAGGACCTGGAGCTTGATTCTTGGTGAAAAGCATATCTCTTGAATCTTTTACCTCTGGTTCTTGAACATTTTGAAAAGGGGTCGTAAAAGAACTTTTGGTGAACTCAACCGAATCATCAATAGCTTGAACTTGATAACTGGCCACAGGAATGTCCTTCACATCTACTACTCTATCGGTTTCAAGAAAACTTGGAGAACTAGCTAGCTTCATGGAACTGTTAACATTTTCTACCAATTTATCATCAGCTTGAACTTGTTTGCATCCAGGCTGCACAACATTCACATCATTTCCTTGCTCGGTTTGACATGCATTCTGATCCTCAACTGAAGTGATGGAAGTGGAATTCGAAATTTTCCTTTTGGTTTCAACATTCCGTCCTCTCCTGTCCTCAAATACGTTCCTAGTGAAAGAATCTAAATTACTCCCGCCACTTTCTTGCATGAAATCATCCCAATCATCGGAACCAAAGGCTACGGATGAGTTAATAAGAAACGGATTTTCATTCTGGGGTTTCTCTTGCTGATAATAGTGGACATTCCTCTGCTGACTAAAGCCGCTCTTGCGCTCATCATCCGAACCATAGTTGTACATAGACCCCTCATCCTCTGAATACTCATTTCTAGATGATGTCCCTTCTTCCCTATCCATCTCTCTTCCATCAAATTCTTCAACTTCAGGTACAAACTGGTTCCGAATTCCTTCCCCATTCGAATCATTAGTCTCTTGGGCTGCCACACCTTCAACTCCAATACTATCATTTCCCACAACTCCCCTCCAAACTTCCATACCCTTTTCACTGTCCTCGTCGCTATTATCCGAACCATACTTCACATCCGAAACCCCCCTTAAACCCGACGATCCACTCTCAAGCTTCCAAGACATCAATTCATTTACATCATCAGCTCCACCATCATCCTCATTGCCATACAATTCCAACCCACTAGACCCGTAACTCGCCCTCCTCCGTCCTCCAATATTACCATCCTCCTTCCCAAACTCAATCCTACCACTACTCAAACATCTCCGATCCTCTCGATTTCTCTCAATCCTCCCTCCCAAGCTAAAATTATCCAAACCACCACTCCCCTCCCCAAGTCCCAAACTTTTCAACGACCCAAATTCGGGCTCCGGGAAATCATTGAAAACCGTGATTGTGCTACACATGCTCGGCGTGCCCATGATCGAGTTGGCGCTGCAATAGCGCTCGTACTCGGACTCGCCGAACGAGGAGTAGCGCGACGGAGGCGATCGGGGCGAAACATCGCCATCGCAATCACCACCGTCACCTACGCCGTCCGATTTGGGATCGAACGGGATGGACGGATCGGGAGAGGCAGCCTCGGCAATCTTCTCTCCATTAATCATTGGAAAGTCAATGAATCATAAATTCGAGTTCGAAATTTATGAAATCCAGAGAAAGCGAGAGTTAGAGAGAGAAGAGCGAGGAAGTGACCTGGGAGGAACCGACGGCTGTGATTCGATTGCGAGGTGGAGCTCCGATGGACGTGAGCGCAGTTGATGGAAGCCCAGATTGTGAAGTGAGTTTAGCATCAGCGATTCGGTTGCAGAGGGTTGAAGAAGTGGCGGGAGGAGAGAGAGAGAGAGAGAGAGATTGAATTGAATTGAAGAAGTGGAAAAGTTGTTAATTTTAGTTTTCAGGTGCGGATGAGTGTGTGACTGGTTTAACTTGTGAGATGAGAAATCGTGACGTCGAAAATGTTGTCTCTGTTGTCCCTCTGTGAGTTCTATTGGATTTGGATCCTCTCCG